GAACTTTCACTCAGAGTTAAACAATCAATCAATTCATCATCATTTTTAAAGATTTTAAACTGCCGTTCTTAAATTACCTTGCTTATTCTTGATTGCTACTTGCTTAGGCGGCAATGATCCTGAAATAAAGAAAGTCTCTGAGAAAATTTGTCCAGATTTTATGAATTAAAGTCAGTATCTGCGAGTCTTTGGGTTAAAACGTGGGATATCAAGTTAACTAACACCCATCCCTCCCCTGAGGGACGCAAAATGGATGAAACCTCCTTCTCTCGATAAAGAATTCATTTTATTTCTCAAACAACTGCAAATAACTTTTATTTTAATAAAAAAGGCAAAAACAAAGTGCCTGAAATATCGTAGTTATGATTTTCAGGTGGATAGCAGACGATGGAGGAGGCATTCTCACTACAATCTCTGAGGATTTTCTTCTACAAATGCGATTGATAAAAAGATGTCAGAGAATATTACATTACCTTTGATACCACTTCCACACACTCGAAAGGTAACGTTTAAACTTGAATTCACGTCCAGTTTGTAAACAAAGAAGCCGTTGCAGTTCCTCACGAGTACGCTCACAGATGTCATGCAACAAACTTGCGACTTGGAGAGACATACTGATCGTACTACTAAACCTTCATCTACACTTGGATGGTTACCCGCCAGCCATCCGGGAACGAACGTACCGCAGTGATCAGCGGGAACGCAGGTTGTAGCCATACGCGTACCGGCTGAGCCATTGTATGTAAACCAGCCCGTTAATGAGGTATCGCTGGTGTTAACGATGTAGTTGGTAAAAAACCTAGATCTGCTTGCCTCGTTTAAAACTGTATGGTTTGTGCACTCGATTGCTACAGAACAGGACAGAAAAAAAAACTAGCTAGAATGCTCCATGGCATGCAAGACCATTTTAGTAAGTACGATCAAAACCATCAAGCATCTTGGTTCTCTCTCACCAACTTGCTTAAAACCATAGTTTTCGTTTCAAAGAAAATGAATTTTTATTTAACTGGCGCAGCACCTTCAAGCAAATCACGGCATTTTCTCTACTGAGAAGAAATACCAGTCTGCTTTCGATAATATTGTTCAAGCGTTACTATAATATTCCCCGATTCCAGCAATTTTGGCAAGCCTAAGTAGTTTAGATCGTGTGACGTGTCCTGTGAAAAGCAGCTGGCTTCTACCTCTGTCAAAATGTTGAGTCAACTTTAAGGTACAATAAAAAGAATGGAAACAACGTTACCAGGATGAGGACTGGAAATCCCTTGATGGGAAGAAAGTATGGCCACAGCAAACAGTGCAATGAAGTGGTGCAGCATCTTAGCCAGTATGCATCATCCTGGGCAGTCTTAGGAAATAAAATTGTTTTTATCAAACAGAGAGAAACATTACCTATACCTTTTAAAGCTACGAAACCTCTGTTTAAAGCGCAAGTACCTTCTTTACACGAAGGTAGATTTAACTAAGGTGTGCCGACAAATTAATGCAGTACTCTTCTAAACAGTTGTCTGAAAGATGTCAAAAGTTATGGAACGCAATGTTAATTTAGTAAAAACTCAACTCATTATAGAAAGTTTACGACGAGAGCTTCAATACTTGTATCAGGCCAATCGAAGTTATAGAACGCAATGCTAATTTGGTAAACACATAGAACTCAAATTTTACCTGGTCAATACTTAAAGCCAACAGTTCCTCTTGAGGGTTTTCAACCAGCTTGTTCCGTGCAGTGCGACATTTATCCCTCTACATGTAACAAAGGTCTATTTGTACTTGAGTGAAAAACTTCGTATTATGTATCAACTATTGTAATAAAATATTTATAGATGTCTAAATTAAAGCCTGCTACTTATAATTAGAAATTGAGCTGTTAAACGTATAAATATAAGGATAGGTCACGAAACAAGCACAAATTGATTTAAGAGTCTCTTGATATGAATAAAAAGCTTGATTACGTGATTAAATTTCAGGGTTTCAAGACTTTCTTTCGCAGTACTTTGTTCGTAATATAAAATTCGCTAAATTTTGATTTCTAAAACTTTTGTTCATCAATTTTCGTTAAAAATTCATATCTCGATATAATTGACAAGTCGTCACGATTTCATGAAACAGGAAATCAATTAAACTCAAACGCAATTTTCCCAAACAAATATGCACAAACGCCGGGTAACATGAATTTTTTTTTTGCTCCATAAGTGGGCTTCCATAACCTATTTTCGATTACAAGGGAAGCAGTGTTAACAATCAGCCCAATTGCTCCTGGAGTCGAACAAAAAGACATCAATTGTGTTGTTTATGAAAGGTATCAATAGAGCGTCGGTTTAAATTGAAAACAAAACCTAAAATGCTAAAAGAGCATTTTAAGTATACTAAAAAACCTCACGGAATCGAAGGCAGGCGACATTCTAGTTGCAAGATTTCCTTCTTCGAGGTTACGGCCATTTTCTATCTGGTCTAAATTGTTTTTGTTGTAAATCATGTTGGGCAAATCAGTTTACTGTCTGTCGGAGTATGGATGCAACAAAACATTTCAAACATCAACAAGTCAACACGTTTCGCAATTTTTTTCCTAAATACGTTCTCTTTCATCCCACCCGTCGAATCCTGATTAAGGGTTTGTTTGATTTGTAAATTTTGACGGAAGAGAAAAACCGCAGACATAACAGCTGGGATGATCAGTGACAAAAATTTTTTATGTGTGAATGACCATATCACCTGCTGCCAACAAAGTGAAAAAGCTTTAGTTAAAGCGAAAATGGATTTTGACAATTTGCGACAAAAACATTTCAACCGAATTTTGCATTATATCCCTCTTGGCGAACGAAGAAAAACAAGACAGTAAATTTTTGATAAAAAAGCTGAAAGAGAATTACCATTTTGCTTCATATACTTGTCTTGTTTAACATTTTGGATAAATAAAAAAAAAAAGAAAGATAAAAGATATGAAATACCTAAATGAGATGAGCGGAACACGACGCAATGATCATATTTATAATTTCCGACCATGGGTCATCTTCGACTTAGTGCTTTGTTGAAAGATGAGTGAAAAGTAAATTCAGAAATAAGGAAATTAACCGACATTTGAATATTCTGCTCTTCAGTGACAGAAAAACTAAGTCTGTTCAATTACTACATTTCTCAGAGGCGTGAGAAGGTTTTTCCAGAGGGGGGTTATGGAGAGAGGAGTGGAGAACGAAGCTTGCAATAGCGTCTTGTTGGCACGTGGAGGGGCGCCACATCTCTACGTGAACCCTCCCCCTCGCTTAGTTACGTCCTTATTCGAGTAACTAACTGTTCCTGGCGAAATATTAAAAGCGATCGCTCCTCAGCCATAAGGGAAGGAGAACGTAGGTATATATCACGAAAGGTCAACGCTCGAAACGTCAGTTTCGAAACTCTTTGCGGAGGCCAATTTTTATAATATATACTACCGCACAGTGCTTCCAGGGATATCAGTTTCCACATTTACATATTTATCTATAGATGAAGGAAAAAAAAGAAAGTCCTTTTTTTTGTCTATTTAAACTATAAATGAAAATAAAGTATTTTACATTTGAATTTATTTGTTGTTAGGCTACGGACTTCGCTAAAGAAAAATGTGGCGCTCGTTCTTTAATGCTGATGAGGTATTTCATGAATCCTCATTTTGTCAAAAAGCAAAGGATAACATCAATTTTTTAAGATAAAAGATCTTGAGCGGATAAAAAGCAATTATCTTGGCTAAAAGCTAAAACAAATTCACTCAGTTTTATCGTATCCAATCTCTTAAAATGCCATAATTGGATTCCTGGCTACTTTTAATCATTTCCCGTTGAAAATTAATATTCTCCATTAAAATTCAAGTTCACTGATTGAATGCGGGTAGTATTTTTCACAAAAATATTTTCATGCTAAAATACGTCTTTTTAAGTCATACAAAAAATGAAATAGTACATCTTTTTTTTTAATCATATTGTTTTCACTTGACTTTGGTTTGATATTTTTTCTTTATCATCTAAATTTTATAAAATTTTCGTATCACTGCTATATTATGTCAAGTAAGTTAGGAAATGAAAAAGTTATACCAAAGAAAAATATATGTTTCAACTAGTTTTATAGATATTATTGGGACAAATAAATACAAATTATATCTGAGGAATTAAGGGAATTTTGATAAAACCTTCGGGAAAAGAAGTGTATATCAAAGTTGAAATAATACCACTTTGGGTAAGGATATCTGGAAAAATCAAAGTTGTAAAATTAAGAATTCTACTTGTTAAATTAAAAGCAATAAGAGAAAACAGTGAAATTAGCTGGTGTTTCGGAGCTTTTTTGCAAAAGGCTTTCGGAAAAAATCAAAAATTCTACTAAATAAATTAAAAGCAATAGGAGAATACTGTCAAATTAATCAGTGTTTCGGAAGTTTGTTGCACAAGGCTGTCGGAAAGAGCTTAATTTCTTCCTTTACTCGTGAAATATCCAGAAAAAAAAATTCACAGCTATGCACGATTGAAAACGAAGGGTCATTGGCATCAGTTACGAGCTATTGTGAAAATTAGCGAAAAACATCTGAATTATTGGATCTTGAAGCTTCGTTCGGCAATGACGAATTTAAAAACGAAAACCCTGACGTATCTCTAAACAAAGCAAAATTTGTATGACGAAATAAAAAAACCCGATACAGCACAGAGTCGTTGATGAAAGAGACGTCTAAAAAATAAGTCGCGAGCAAATTTATCGCCTACCTTCAAAACTTCTGCGTTTGTTTTTGCATGGACTAACACCACTACTGCGGAAGTCACTGCGAGTTTTCGTTTATAAGAATTAATTAGTACTAAACTGGATAGCGCGCGTCATCAGAGACTTTAGCCGCTCACCTTGCGAGGCGGTATAAAGCTTAGGGACTTAACTGAACCAATTATGTTAAAATATTCAGTTTTTATGTTTATTCTGTACACCTTATCACCCTGGGAAAGTTGGAGAAACCTTTCGTTTTCCATTTTTAGAGATAAACAAGCATAAATTACCTTTAGGTCAACTTGATTCCTATCGAAAGCTCCTCCCTCAAATGTATGCAAATACGAAATGGAGCCAAAAGAAGAATCAATTGGTTTAATTTCCAGTTGCGTGTGGACACAATAGGATGTGAAACTCAAACAAAGATAAGATGAATAACTACAATTAACAATCATACATCATTTAAAAACAACATAAATTGCTTCAAATTACACCGCACAGTTTGCGACTCTTATGATAAGGTAACATTACTGCAAACATTGACATCCAAATTACTTGCCTTCTTGTCTATGTGTGTGCATATGTCTCGTCCAAAGGGTCATGTTGGGCCAGTGCTTCCCAGTCCATGGTTCAAAGCTCTATATTTTTTGGGTTGTTACACATTTTGTACAAGACAAAAACTTCAAGGGAACTGTACCATTCTCAAACTTGAAAGCAACGTCGATCATTTTCATTACAAGAAGAAAACGACTGGTTAATGATGCGGCAAGGAACATGTTTATAAAACATGAGTAAAATGCCTTGATAACAATTTAAAACACCGTATTCAATCAATAAGAAAGAGACGATGTTCAACTTTGTCACTGAAAATTAAAACTGAAACAAAAAATACAACTGTTCCCTTCAAAAGAAGATAAGTCGCAATATTCCTCACGAGTAAAGTATATTTCAAGAAAAATTGCTTGGGCTTCAAAGGATTTCAATCAGTTAGGTCCTTTGAGCCTCGAAAATATGGTTTTTTAGCTCATGCAGTATGTGAGAGGTCACGTTCGAACATTGTCGAAACTTGATTACATTCGGACCTCTTCTTCTGCAATTTCTTGGGTTGTGATTGTAATGAGACATCTAAAGACCGGTTTTCTTTTGAAAATAAGCTGAAAAAAGAACATAAACTAAAGCAAACAATGTTTTCCACTACCTTTATAAGCTAAGAATCCCAAGAAAAAAATAAAGAAAAATTATCGATCAAACAGAAGCAACCCAAAAATTATGAAAGATACAGTGCTGTGACATTACTGAAAACTTCTGTTCTCTTTAATGAGATTTCTCTGTCTGCAGAAGATTTCGCGCAAAGGCCTTTTTTATTTTCACATAAAAATATTCAGTTAAGGATTTCTTCGTAATTTATCGGTTGTTTTTCCAAACCCATGGTAAATTTCGAGCACGGAGACTCAGTGCACTCGGGATGCATTTCGGGAGTGGAACTTGCTCCATTTTCTGAGCATGCGCAAGGCTGATAATTAAGTTACAAAAGTTGACTGTATTTCAAATTTGCATGCAATGATTCTTGAATTCAAATGTGACACCAGTCAAAATCGTGTTGGTTCGTTGATAACAGAAATATTCCTT